TCTACAAAGCTGGAAAATATTGGTATTCCTGCTGTAACGCTCAGTGATATTAGCAAAGAGAATATGAGGGTTGTCGAGAGAGGGACTTTCTCTGTTGTTTACGGAAGCCCAGAAGCTTGGTTGAAGATCGATCGGTGGAGGAAATGTTAGCGAGTGACTTGTATGTGGTCCTTGGTCGGCGACTTTCCCGAGCATGATTAAATATTTCGTCGAGAAATAAAATACAATGAACAATAAAAGGGTCAATGATTTATTGATTATAAGCCTTCTTTCTTTCTTTGAAGGAGCGAGATTAAAGTTTGTTGACAGGTAGGTTAATTTGTCGTTCTAGCTTGAAGTTTGGACTTCGGCGGCAGCCGTGGTCATGTTTACTAAGCTTGTGAATAAATAAAACGCAACGGGAGGACGTGCCTTTTTGCAGAACAAGTTTTCAGATAAACCTTTTTCTGCCGTTGGAAGCACATTGCTGTAGACTTCGAATTTTTTGTTTTACCGACTCTTGAAAAAATATAACCAAATTTTGCGTACTGGTCCTTGGTCCGCGACCCATGACCTTGGTGGAATTACATTTCGCAAAAAAGGAAACGGCCTTTGTTTTCGAAGAATGCTTTGAATATCTTCCGTATACACGTTTACAAGTTCTCTTTTCTTAATACTTCGAATATATACAGAGTTAATAGTAATTATTGTTTTCGACCGCGCTGAAAACCGCTCCGCGCTCGTGTGGGAGACTGTTGTCTGAAGTCTTTCAAAGAAAAGCAGATTATTTTATAGTCACAACTTCCGAAAAAAATATACAGCTGACTGCAGCTTTATTGCATCGTTTCTGTGATTTTTTCAAAACGTTTGAGTCGTCTCAGGTAGAAGATAGCGGTGCAAATAAATAATTCACTTGAGAATACAAAGACATCACTTATATCACAGCGCGTGATTGGCTGATCGTGACACAATAACTAACCGCTTATTGGCTTATTCAAACAATCCAGAACGTAAAAGTCGGCTGTGTTTAGCAGACGTCCGTGGGGGAGAAATGAATGCGTGACAAACGAACCCCAAAGGACGTCTGCGGGGAGGCTAATCCAAAACCTGATACTTTGGATACATGATCCGAGGCGTTTCTTTACTACGGATCCTGAAAGAGAGAAAACAACCCGCGGTAACTTGAAACATTCAGTAATCCATACAGCACTGCGCACCGTTACGCCCGGGGGGGAGGGGGGTACTCCCTTATACAAGCCATATAGGTATGTGCCACCCCATCGGGTAGGGGTTTTGCCCCGTTTTGGTCTGAAAACGGGTATACACTTTGCCCATTTTAGTCTGGAATCGAGTATGGTTTTTGAGGGAACTACGGGAGTGGGTCTAGAATCGGGTATGGTTTTTGAGGGAACTACGGGAGTGGGTCTAGAATCGGGTATGGTTTTCGAGGGAGTGTATGATCGTATTTATCGTTTCAACTCCAGCTGAGTGAGAAAGAAAGAGAAATATGCGAATTCGAAAATGGATTTGAAGAATTTTTTGTTTGCGCTCTAATCTAAGTAATGATAAATAATTTCTGCCTAAAGGCCAGTTCTGAAAACGGGTATGGATTTTAGAGGTTTAGTCTGAAAACGGGTGTGGAAAATTACATTTTTTGGTCTGAAATCAGGTGAAGATTTGACGAACCAGGCGGCACACCCCCACCAATAATTATCAGGAGTACCCCCCACGGCCATTTTTAAACTCGAGCCATGAGGTAAACGATCGATTTCATCAATTTTATCGGGATGGTAAAATCGCAATACAAACAGGACCTACAATGTTCTAGTTCACAAGGACAAATCGTGACAAAACTGTTACACAACTTCCCCGGCGCGTGTAGCAATATTTTACTTTTCCAGAAGGTATCTCATTTCAAGACCCATCTTCACTTGGCCTATCTAAAGCAGTATCCTCGAGCTAACCGTCCAGAATACAAAAAGAAATCAGCAAATTTGCAACATTATCAGCAGTCGTGTTATTAGGCACTTTAAGATCCAACAACTCGACAGCAACGAGAACGTCGCTTAAAAAGTGAATAGTCCACTTGCACTAAGAGGTGACGTGACCATTGCTTCCTTTAAACAATGAGTTGGAATTTTGCTGATGCTAGACTATGACTAGTCCCCCATTTTTCCTCAGCGATAGCAGAGCGAGCGAAACGCGAGGGCCCGTGAAAATCACCCCACGCGGTGGGGAGAGAGAAAAATGAGGGACTACAGACGATCGCGAAGCCTAAGCTTTTGAACTTATGCGTTGCTCTCACAACGCAAAACTCTGATTAGCTCTTCCATGGAAATCTGTCAATCTCCCTCCCCGCCGCGTGTCGCCTTTTCTCGCGTGGGGTGATTTTCACGCGCGCTCGCGTTTCGCTCGTTCTACTCTCCCTGAGGAAAAATGGGGGACTACTCGTAGTCTATGCTGATGCCAAAAATTCGGATAGAGCACATAAAAATCATCTTACACCAGAAATTTGAGAGGAAACGCATAATGCATTTATGGCACTTTGATTCTTCAACAAAGTAGTATGATTTGTATTGGCGGCCATGTTAGAAGGAATACTCTTGCCCTCCAACATGGCGGCCAAAACTACTTTTTGCTTATATCTTGTTAAACGTTTTATATTTACGCTCAGATGTGCTGTAAACGGTACAACATCATATTTTCAACCTTTTCCTTGAATTTCAAGTCCTAAATTTGTTTTCAGAAAGAGGTAATTCATAATTTTAAAAATCACATTTTGGTGACGTGTCCAGCTACGAACTAACTCATTTTAATGAAATGATGCGGGTTTGAAAAACCAAATCACTCATTATTTTGTTTAAGATATGACCCACTAATCGTTTTTCGAAGGAAAAATCATATAACTTTCATTTTCATTAAAACAATGTCACGTGGCCTCTTAGTGCAAATGGCCTATTTGCTTTATTTCAGTCTTAATCGCAATTATTCCTACCCACTTACTTTGTCAAATGTAGGCGAACCCTCCTGAAGTTGAATTCCTAGGCACCATATCCAAGTTCAGAAATAGAAGTAAAATTTCGTTGATGCTTGTTTACGTTCTCCATAAAACGCGAATTTAGGCATTTTCACGTAATAGTCGTGCAAAAACGGCAAGGGAATGTACAAAAAAATGTGATGCACGGGCAAAGTTGTTGTTTTGCAAATACAACCTATTGTTTTTTAGACGTTCTCGTTGCCGTCGCGTCGTTGGATCTTGAAGTCCCTATTCTTTCTCCAGGATAACGTCGATATTGTGGGTCGTTTCTATGGAAATTAATGAAAATAATGCTTTTTTGGATACATCGCTTCTTTTGTTAATGAAAAATCCTAATAGTAAAGAATCGCACCCTTAATAACTTAGACATGGTCCTTTCGAATTCGACCCCAGAAAATTTCGCCAACTTTGACAAATTATATGAAATTAAGGTAAATGTAGTTTGAAACAGTGCGAATTCACTTTTTGAGTGACCTTTATGGATTGTTGTCATCCGGAAATTTTGCTACCATGACAACGTGGCGTAACGACTTCTCTCCATTTATATAGCTAGATGTGCATGAGATGTAGAACTAGAATGGGTCCGCAGAGTCAAGTAATGAGACAGGGGCAGGAGCCCATCTGACAGTGGATTATTGATGCCGTATTTTTTGTACTCTTACGACTCGTTTGTCAGCCCATGCCTTCACCTTTAAGAGATTCCTTTTAGACCACTTTGCTTTCAAGGACAACCAGTCACCAGGTTTTTCCCCTCTGGTTTCGAAGCTTTGGAGACCTTTCCACAAGGTCACTGGACCTCTAAAACAAGTGGCTGTGCCCCTCTCCTCAATTAGGTGTAAGAGCTCTCAGATTGACAGACACATGGCGTCGTGTTGCGCTCGGGACTATTGTTCGTAATACTGGGTATTTCTGTGCTGGTGGGGACCGGGCAGGCCTCTGATGACCAGAGGGTGGTTCAACGGTGGTCTTCAGTTACTAGAGGGTGACTTGCATGGTCATAACTACATATCCTGTAGGCCCCTCCCTGAGGGGTTGGGGTGGGGGTTGCAAAGCGAGAGTTAAAGTTAGGGTTACGTCTACAGTTTCCCGGATAGCTCTTGTGCAGGCACGAAATCATATCGGATAGTGCTTCTATTCACACGAAAGACGGAGTCTGTAACGGAGCGGAGCTGCGCCGATCTATAAAGTGGGTTATCTCATATCGGATAGTTTTCTGTGCCACTCTACGGCGCAGTGTGAACAGTTGTTCCTCCTATACCGGATAGTTTTTTATGTCGTCTTCAAACACTCATTAATAATTCGCAAAAAAAAACAAAAGAAATTAATGTTTAATGAGTACCTTTATATCTGATAAAGACACGGCTAAACTTTACGTCGAATTTTTTAAACCAAAATAACCCCAAATCTAAATATTACAGCAAGAATGAATTGATCTATATCAGAGATTTTGAAGGCGTTCAAAATACTCACAGTCGTGTATTATCAGGTTTTAAAAACTCTCGTAATAAACTCCTGCTCGTTTTTAAACAGTACATGAAAAGTTATCCGGTGTGGTGTAGACATAACCTATACGAGGTTAAGAGGAGAGCAAAGCGTACCATTTTTTTCCTTCGACGTAAGTATTCACATTTTGTTGGAAAAGAAAAATCGTTAAAAAAATCCTCCATCACTTCAATGGTCGCTTTAATAAAGCTTTACAATTCCTATACATTTCACCAGACACTCAGAAAATAACATTTTAAATTGAATAAGGTGCCATTATAGAACGTTTTCCCTTCATAGTTGTCCATAAAGTTCAGTGGCCCCAGAGCCGAAAAGTCCATCTTACTCCATATCAACCAAATAGGCATGAGGCATGGGAAGTAACTCCGTGCTACTACAAACTGGCTTTACACGTGTTTTGGGAGTGCCGTCTCTCCAACAAAATGCCTAACATTCAAAGCTCAAGCGTCAAGTCATAACGTCTATGCGCTGTAATGAAAGGCTTTTTTTTAGCCCAGTGGTTTGAAGGTTCTTGCTGCAGGATGCGGCTGACGTAGCATGGTGCTGCTAGTCCACACAATAGGTTAGGTACGCACGCGACCTGTAGAGAAATAAAACAAGATTAGTAAACTCACAAAAGTAGCGCAGGACAGCACAAGAAAAGAAAGCCAAATAAACAAATCCCTCTACAGCAATCGGGACTTAATAAAAGTCATCAGGCTTAATAAAAAACTATTGGATCAAGTAAGGGTTCTAGGTAACTGCCCACCTAGCCCTCCCCTAAGTTAACGCTTACTTCTCACTTAAGGCAAAATTGTGACTTAGGGGAGGGGTAGGTAGTCAGGAGGATTAGAGTGAATGCCTCAACGTTCAGGACAACAACAAAAAAACAGCTAGTTGTCGGTCTAGGGAAGTCATTCCGGTAAATTACCACTCTTCTTCAGACAGAAAGAAAGAAAGCCGTAAATCGAGGAGTGCTTTCAAAATTTATTATTGCTTCCATCAGCAGTCCTAGCTTTAACAGCTCCATCTTTCGCGCAGTGGCAGACACTTTTCTTTGCCGTCGCCGCACACCTTATCCTCGGAAACCCACGGGCAATAAATCGGGTCGGAAGAAACGACGCGATAAAAGTTGTCATGCGCTACCCGACTGACTGCCCCTGGGTCGAGGCCGAGTGGACTTCGGCTAGAGTTCCTGTGACCAAAACGGAACCCCCCCAAACCCTCTTCAAACCAGAACTACTTCGGCTGACCTCTTCTACATCCCCAGTGGGCAAAAGTTTTAACTCTTGCTTAAGCCAATGTTTGTGGGGAAGTGTTGATTGGAAATAAGAACATCAGGCACAGCACGTTCTATGTCAAGATCAGCGCTTCCTTTAGGTCACAACGCCTTGTCTCCTGGGTCTTCTCTGTATTCAAAACAGCGACTTGAAAGGCTGCCAAATTACCCCAGGAATCCCATCTGCCTTAACTATTAAACGATTCTCAAACGCGCGAAGTCAATTGAAAACGAATAACAAGCTGGGGTTAAAGGAGTTTTATCACGTGGGTTTCCACCTTTAATCACATGATTCATTCGAATACATGACAGACTTTTTCTAAAACCAAGCTGTGCTGACACGGAGTTGGTGTTGATGGTCTCGCTAGAAAACCAAAGTGCCATTATTTTTTAAGGTTTTTCCTTTAAGTGTCGTAAACTGCCACTTTTACGCCCTGGGTTCATACAACTTCGTAAAGGGGTTGACTTACAAACGGAGGGGCAAAGATTCTTACAGGGTCTTATAACCGGAGAAGAGTTATGGCAGTGAGGATCAAAATACGTTTTGCATTTACTGGTGTTTTGAGCTTCAAACCGTCATAATATATCAAATTCATTTCAATACATTTGGAGGGGGCTTACATCCGGAAGGGCTTATAATCGGATGTATTTTTTTTGTTTCCAGGTAGATGGGCCTATAACTGGGAGAGCTATATAAGCACCGGTTGCGGTATTAGTTAAAACTACCACAGGGGTCCAATCGCAGAATTATTTTGAGCAGCTGAACCTTTTTGTTTGCAATAAAGTGCATATTTTTCAGATGCCTACAGAGACCTTTATTTTTCTTTGTCTGGGAAAATGGATCAGTAGTGCTTTAAAAAACCTTCATCTGCGTCTATGACAGGTACAATTCAGTGGCAATTGCCAACTGAATTTCAAAAAATGTCACATCGATATCTAAACGAAGTAGAAATGGAACTGATCTTATGAGCGGAAATGTTTCATCGCCAGCAAGAACCTCAAACTCAACCTGTCCAGCCACATTTTATTTTGAATAAAGAAGAGAAATGTCCCGCTGCTCGACCATGACATCTTAATCAAAGATGAATAAATCATTGACCATATGTTTTGTTAGATGTACTGGTTCGGTCGATTACGCCTCTAAGACCTCTTTATATACGAAGCATTAAACGACGATGAAGATAGTTGGATGCCGTCAAATACATGGACAAAATGAATAATCCACAGTTGAGTGAACTGGAAACAGGGCGAATCAAGCAAACGAGGTGGATTTATGAATCAACATCAACGACAAGGGAGGTAAGCTAGACTATCAAAGGTTAGCAAAGAACCAGAACTAAAGAACCAGAGTGTGGCAAAAAACTGATCCTGTAACTTACTCTTGAAATTAAACCCCGTCAACATTACAAAAGATTGGCATAACGGTTCACTTAACAAGCACTTACTTATCACACACATTTAACGTAACTTGTTGGATTTCCTTAAACAGGAGATCCATGCACATGTAGCTAACTAGGTAGAAAACAAACCGACTATTCATATAAAGTTCAGGCTTTAAGCTTTCTTCGGAACCTCCGATTTTTCTTTTACTTGTCGTTACCTGTCTGAGTTCAGGAAAACACAAAAGGGACCATTTGATGGATTCATCTTAAAACTCTGTGGGCCTTACGTTAAAGAAGTATTAGCCACAACAAACAGGTTTTAAGGTACAGTGACATGAAAATTCTGGTTTGCAAACAAAAAAAATATCAAGGCGAAACACTGTATTTTTTCTCCCACGTCACATTGCGGATATGTCTGATAGATGTTAATGCCGCTCTACTCTAACTAATACCCCGACGATTTTGATAAAGTCATGGGTTCTAGTCCCGCTCACAAATGTTTTGCATAATCAAGTTTATTAAGGCGGGTAATTTTCAATTTCACATACACACTAATCGTTTCTTTCGAAACTACACTGTTAATCCAATTATAGGCGAATTTAGGAGACAACAACACAACGCAAAATGAGAACGCAAGGGTGCGCAAAAAGGACTGAACGCGACTTCCGGTGCCTGATTTGCCGCTCTGCCATTGGTCAAGGCGGTCCGTTGTCAAAATCTGCCTATTATTGTTTTAATATGCTATTCGAAGCAACATCCAAAGCAGCAGATCAGTAATCGTTCGGAAACTGAAAGTAAAAATCCCAGCTTTGTGTGACACAAAACGCCTTCTTAAAAGTATTGTGGTACTGGACCTCACTTCCGTATCACTAGAAGCTCAGTGGTTAGACCATCCGACCTAGAACTCGGAGGGTCGTAAGTTCGATTCTCACCGTGAGCTCGGAATTTTTTTCTGAGCTTTCTGGTGTTAAAGTTCTCCTTCTCCCAAATTATACAGTAAACGGGCCTTTTTTATAAAGCGCAGGCGGCAAACACAAACAAAATAAGCAGAAAGGTAAAATTGGAAATTTTATTTAATATCACGTAAACGAAACATCGTTGTTGGCAATCATATCAAGAGGTTCCGCGCGGACGGCACAGCTCCCGCGTAATCGCTTGCAATTGCATTGTCGCCCTAAAACGCAATAAAGTCAGAGCAATCCAACAAAAATCGCAATCCAACAAAAATCACAACAAAGTGAACTTAATACTTCTGACAGCGCGACAAAGGGATTAAAGGTGAATGTGACTGACTAGAGTGAGAAGTCTAAATCAAAACGTCGAATCTGTTGGGGCAAGTAATTCGTTACCACAAGAGGGAACTACCCTGATTAACTAACAACTATACTCCAAATATACTCTATACGTGTACTCTGAATTACGTCTACGCGAAGAAAACAGAATGGAGTGTGGTATACGTGCTTTATCTTAAACGAGTGGAGAAGTAAGGAGGTTATAGGCGGAAAAAGTAAGTGTAGCATACAGAACAATACTTCACTATGACTGAAGTACAAGGGATAAACGGAAACGTTATAACCTTAAGTTACGGTTAACGGTTTCTCGATCACGAATCCGAGCAGCTTTTGAAATCGAAACCCTTACTAACGCGTGACACAGTCTTAAGCATGAGATTTTAAATGAAAGAGCGTCCAACCAAAAGCAAGACTCTCAGTCGAACGCAACCGCCAACAACTGGCGATAAACTAAACAATTTGAATGGGTTGTGCGACAGACATTATCTTTGGGCAAGTTGAGAGAATTAGCATCATCTTTCCTTCAATTGGACTGAGGAGATGCCCACGTAGCCATTTTTCAACGCCATTCAAGAGGTTTACTGTTTCCAACGTATAGAAGAGTGCTTTTAAGTGGACATATGCATTTGCCGTATATGCGATACTTTGCCTCTGTCTCCAGATGCGAATTCGCAAAAAATGATGACTCGGTTCCAAAAACAAAAACCGCAAAAACGCTTGTTATGGCGCCCAGGTTACTTTACACACTGGTAGACCAGGCTCACAATACGACTAGCGGACAATTTACACTGTTTCACTAAATACATCAGCAAAATCTAAACGTTTGCATGCGGAAATGCGACGAAAGTATTCAAAAGTGCTACACACATTCAGAAAACCCACACAGCGAAATTTCTTTTATATTTGTTGAATTTTAGTCATTTGTGAGGGTTATTCAGCCAGTTTAAAGCGTTCTGGCAAACAATTCCGTTATAATTTTTTAATGCACGTTAACTTAACCGAACAAAGGCTAGGGAGAATTTGATACTACACCTCCACCTGAACTCTGTCGAAACAGGTGATCCCTTTGGTTTTCCACCACGATGTTAACGTCATGCGTAGAGTTATGAAATCTTAATTTACTTCGAGCGTACTAACCCCTTTCCCTCCGCCCAATAAAAAAATTAAGGCGCGATCTTTTAAGAGTGCTTACTGGACTAACTCGGCAAATTTGGTAAGGCTAGGCTATTATTTTGAATCTCCATTTATATAAACGCCTTTGCTGGGTTTTTAGGTAGTGGTGGACGCTCCTTCTTTAAAGCAATAGCTTGAAAAGCAAAGCAATGTCATTTTGGGTGTGATTCGAGTAAGGAAAAAAAAACGGAAGAGACGAATAATATGTAAGGAAAGTCACCAACATGAGTATTAATTTGGAGTTCTTCTAATTTATTTTTCTTAGTGAGAACGGACCAAAATTTGCTTACTTCCAACTGCCCACACACGGTGATTCCATTTACAAATGCCTAAATGACAGGAGTTACGAAAAGTGAGAGACCCGAGACACACAATGACTCGAGCGCCTCATCAATGAACGCCTCGAACAGGCCAATTCTTGAAAGAAACCGTCATCTCCTTGCGGCCGGTGAAAATGAGGTGAAACCTTCCGAGTGAAGTTGTCATCAAGTGACAAATCGTACTTCATCTAACAGAAAGGCGCACTTTAAAAGGCATGTAAAGCTTTAGTAATACATAGTTTATAAGTAAGTTTCCATAACATCATAACGTCACGCATTAACTAACGCAATCTGTTTTCGAAGTCGGGCAGATTTCACGCTGTCAACTAAAGGGTACATTGGGAAACAACCAAGGCTTTGACAGTGTGACCCGTGGAGACTATTCTCGAGTTATTTAAATTTTGCCTGACCGAGAAAAAAAGACTGGTGATAAATAAATATAACGCACCAGTTGTTTTCATTCATGTACTACATGTACAAATACTCCATTGAAAATCAAAAAATCACCATCGCTTGTTGATAAATATGACAAGAAACAAAAGTGCCGCGTGTTATCTTAAAGCCGGTTGTGAGCTTCGAACAGAGTTAAGCTGACCAGCGGAATACAAAGTTTGTTGCTAGCGTTCATCTGGGTTAAAACTTAAATTTACTCGGAGGGGACACTGAATCTCTAGGATCTCTGTCATGAAACACGTGTACATGTTGCGTGACATGCATTTACAAGTGTTAGGCCGGGCGATAGGCTCGATTACCAGCCGATGTTCGGGAAAATGAGCCCGCACTCAAAGACCGGACCCGGGAGACAGAGGAAATCGAGCCTAACCGGGCAATCGATAACAATTCCTTCCCATCTTTCAAGTCGCCTGCGAGCACGTTCTAATTTACCAAATAGCATACTTTGCACTTCACGCGATCCAAGATCAATGGCTCAATTGGACATCGTAAGTACAAAACGAATTTCAAAGACTTCACATTCTCAAAAATTGCAAGTTGTTACATACGGCGTACAGAAGTTACCAATTCTCGCTCTATTTTACGAACTTTATCTTCTCTGCAAAAGAGGAGGAGAACTCACAGAAAAAGGTGACCATTCAAATAATAAGCAGTAATTTCCTGTAGAGATGTCCACTATGCCGCATAGGATGGTTTTGTACAGGTGGATAAAATATAATTATAACGTGTCACGTGTGATAATACACAGGAAAAATTATTAGGACTCCGCGAACAGAGTAACATTTGACGAGATATGCAAGTTAGCGGCAATTGGCTACATTATAGTAAATTCAATCAAAGCATAAAGTTTGAAAGTTTTTACATATCAAAAACTCAGTTGTTTAGACTGTTTACAGCGGGCGAAGTTCTCATTCGATGAAGGCAAGAAAGGGTCTATCGGAAGACCTCGTTAGTGCTTCAAACTCTCGCTCGTTTCTTTCTCCGTTTCTCGCGTTTCTTCCAGTTTGAGGAGAGAATATAGAAACGGTAAAAAAAGTCAAGAGTTCAAATTTACGACGTTTTTCAGTGAGGGGCTTTCTTATAAGACCTTAAACGTAAAACTTTAATCAAATCCCCAACGAACTACGAAAAGGCCACCCAAGACAGATTATTGAAACTTTTCACCCAAAATGGGAACATTACGGTTCTATAAAATATGAGCAACAGCAAGTTATTTTGTTAATTGTGCAGCTGAAAATGATTCTGTCCGGGAAAGTGACCAAGTTAGAACTTTCGAACAGCTCGTAGATATTAGCTTCTTAGCTACTCTAAAATTCGAGTATAAATAAAGTTTTATGTTATGTTATGTATGCATACAGTATACACGCATTCAGCTGTAGCAATAACTTTTGTCCACTTTGAAAGTTGCCATGGGATAGTCTTTTTTACCAAAAAACATAGGAAAGATCTCCACAAGGTGAATACATGATTTGAGTTAGTTTTAACCCTTTATGCTCCAATATCCAAACACAAATTCTCCAAACTGATCTCTATACATTTCCTTCCAGAATTAGTTTAGAGAATTTGATAAAAGATCAAAGTATTCTCCATTCGGTGATTATGTTTATTCTCATAACCTTTTCTCGTGATGATGTATTGATATAGTTAGGAGAAAATAGATGTTGGCCACTCTAGGGACTTATAGGGCAAAATCACACACCTTGTACCTGCATCAGTATTTTCATTCTGTAGCTGCTTGTTGAGTTGTAATAGTTGTCTGAGGTACAGTACTTGTACATATGTACAGTAGCTTGCTAATGAACACAAACTACACTACAGTAATGAAAATTAATAAAATAATCACCAAAGGGAAAATGCTTTGATTTGTTATCAAATACTCTCAACTAATTTTGTAATGAAATGTACAGATCAGTTTGGAGAATTTGTATTTGGACATTGGAGCAATTAAATTGCTTGAAAGGTCACACTGTGTACACTGTATACACGAAGAACAGGAATACTGTTACTTGGTTCAATGGGTGGGATGATAATCTGGCACATTTCCATTTTGTCGCTACTGTAAGATTCTCAATGGTAATTATGAAGCCCAATATATTCCAATTTTTGACACTCTTGTTCTTAATACTGTTAACAAAAGATGCATGCAAAGCTACCTCCAATAATACATTTTGGCACTCTTCACTGCTTCTCCTACACTGCTAAACAACACTGTATCATGGTCAACTCCTAACCATCTCTTGATCAGTTTCCCTATTCCACACTTGGCATAAAATATCACAGAACTTGATTCTGACAACAAATTTGTCATTTTTATAAGACTTGATTAATATTAACAAAATAGACAACAATTTTTGACTCTTACTACAAACTCAAGGCATTAAAATGGTATCTTATGAAAGAGAAATAAGCATCTCCAGTGACCCTGGGTGGAGAGAACAATCTGAAGCCATCATTGGGGTGAAAAATTTCTTGTCTAAATTGGACATAAGACCACCACCAACTTTTGGATCAAAGTTCAAAACATACGTGCAAGCTACTAAAGCTACACAGATACTTCTACACAAAACTACAATAACAGTAAAAAACAAATTTTTCCATTCTAAGTCAGGTGTACAGTACTTGCAGAGAATGATACAATTCTATCTTTGAGACCACTCCATTACCACCAAGTTTACATTTTTCTCTTCAATATTTCAGTATTTATTTATTTATTGCCAACCTTCATCGTACATAATGTTGTAATTTCTTTTTTTTTCTCTTGCAACACCAAAGCCACAGTATTTTGATTGTTTAGTGCCTGAAACTCGAGTATCTGACTTTTATTTTGCTGAAGTAGTATTCTAACATCTGATTTTTTTTATTGTCATTACAGCCATTCAGCATTGGATGCACGTAAGTAAAATGATACCATAATGACAGCATAACCAGCATGAACAGCATAAAATTATAACAATAGTGGCCGTTAAATACTACTAATATTCTTTCATGTTCATTCTCACAGACCTTGTCCTTGTTGTAGAGTAAGATAAGTTTTAGTTACATGTAACTCTTATTATTATTTTAACCTTGTTAATGCTGATTAGCATATGTCCTGCACAAGCACTTCCTGTGGTTTCAAACAACAACTATGCTCAGTAGCCTAGCTGTAAGAAATTTTTATTATATACATACTGAGAAATATTCACCAAAAAGCTATGTCGTAAATATTCACACTCAAATTAGTTCTAGCCAATCAGAGGAGCGAACAATAGTTTTCACACACGAAAAAAAATGATACATCTAATCAGAACTCACAGAGGTGTGTGAGTTTCACACAAAAATTCCTGCCTTAGGCGCTTGCAGTTTGCAGCACCCTCACTTTGTGAGTGCTTTGCAGATGTGCAACAATTGAGCATTCAGACCAAAAAGTTAACATTACTTGTAATTTTTGGATTACCTCATATCCTTGCCTTCATTAAAATTATTAACAAATATTTTTACTAATAAGCGGATGCTTTTTCTTGTTTGTCATTTTGTGGTGTGTAGCAACAAATTTTAGCATCTTTGAAAGATTAAAAAAAGGCTGCCAAAATGATGAATGTCTCAGTATGTACAAAGTGAACACAACCCCACATGGAAAGTGCTTTGTTAGGTATATACGCACTTGTTTTTGTATCAGAAATCTCACTTGTTCACTGCCTTCACTTGTATGATTTCTGATACGTCAACAACTTGTGTGAAATACTGTATGCCAGCACTTTCCATGAAGTATTCTAAATCTGGTTCAGTGTTTTACTGTATATGAAAGAGAATCAAATTTTTTATAGAAATGACAGCCATGCTCCGCTGGGTTATGGAAGATTTTCTCAGCCATACTCTTATGCTTCCATTTGTCAATAATACAGCCTGAGCTATTTATAACACACCAAAAAGTAGAAATCTGATGACATTGTAATACTTTAACAATATTTATTATGATTGGATGAGGTTTATGTGATATCTGGTATAACCAAGGTCAAGCTAATGCTATCAGCCAGGGCTGACTCACTGTAACACTATCAAGACCTTGACTTACTCAGGATATCACAAAAACCAAATCTACTGATTGTGTTATTATACAGATTAACATATAGTGAATATAACGCATAATGTAAAAACAGATTACCGTTATGTCCACTGTACCTTCTGAGTTCTTTATTGTATTGTTCTCTACAGAAACCAGGCTCTGGAAAACCTAGGTGTAGAAGTAAGTAACTCTTTACTTTTAGTGAAAAAACCATTGGCTATTGAATACTAATACTAATAATAATAATAGTAATAATAATACTTGTGGCCACCATCATTTCTTTTAAAGAGAAACAAAGTTTGCATGTTTTTAATGTCTACTGGCAAGGAATTCTAGAGAGTAGGTGCAGCTACAGAGAAAGAGTGAGCACCAAACGCCTGTGTTTGATGATTAGACTACTTTCTTATATATGCCCAAGGAAATAATCTCATACCCCTCAGTAAGATGTACTTTCATGCTAGATAAACTGACACTGCTTTATATTAATTATTATTATTATTATTATTATTATTATTATTATTATTATTATCACTCAGGATCAGTCTTATTACATGTATTATTTGGGAATGACCTACAAAAAAATTAATTACATTAATTAAGAATCCATAATACATTGCACTTTTTGGAATTAAATTCCTCTTTCAAATTAAAGATTGAAATCTTCTTAAACTGAAATTACAAATGTTGCTCAGTTTACTTATTTAGGAAGGCTCCTTGAGTTCACAGGCAAACTGTGCAACCACTGGCAGCTACTGGTTTCAGTTGCTTGGATTTCATCGGGAAATTGTCAGAAATTTTCCGAGGAATTTTGCATTTTCATTTTTCTTTCATTTTATGTACATCGGTACTCATATAACGCAGAAGTACAGTCAAAGACTGCCTTACAGTCACCTCTTCATTATGGCCACTTTTTTTGCCGCCCAGCAAAACGGCCATACATTTTCCTGTAAAAAAACCTTGTTAATAGAGTCAATTTGTTTTGGCCCATTGGTGACCATTTTAATGGCATTCCACTGTATGACTGAGAAGCTTGCTCAGTATATTGCATACTTGTGCAATACCATAACAGTAAAAGCTCACATTGCCTCTTTACTTGTACTTATAGGAGCCACGACTGAATGTGACCACAAGGCGGAGACCTGTGCGTCATTGCACTGGGCCCATGGAGCCTCTTAATGTGATATAGTAAGTTGATAGTTGAAGGTCTTAGCTGGTCAACCCAATAAGAATCAATAGGCCTTATTCAAAACTACAGCTGAACCTCCATTAAATGGCCACCCTTGGGGTAGCGCCAACTGGCCACTTGATTGGGGTAGGCCACTGAATACTTTGTTGTAGAGGTTCGTCTGAAATTACCAGAACCTTTAGCAGAAACTTCACTAAATATTGTGAAATAACCACCTTAAGGGGCTTTTTTCACAAGAGACAGCTCTAATGCTGAACAATAACCAGAGTATAGTAACAAGCAAATTATCCTCAAAACGTTGGAAAAGTGGTGAAGTTCTCCCAACTTTGCAGGAACAATACTTCAGTTTATTTTTTGTACTGTACCATCAACTTCACAATATCATAGGTGATGAATTATTCCTTAATTTTGGCGTGAAATTTCAGCATTAATTCATAATTTCACATGTGAAATTACAAAATTGCCATGGCAACCTCCCATACACCTCAGTCCCAAAATGGCGACAAAGTTTTAAAATGTCATGAATGAAGATGTCAGGGCACAAAAAGACACTTTAGAAAACCTTAACACACGAAAGAGCACACCAAGAAGGATTCTTACAAGTATTTTGTCAAAAAATTTGGAAAATCCTCACTTAAGCTAAATTTAAGCTGTAAACATTTCAGAGTGGAGTTCTCGATGGATACAATCCAGGATAAAATGTGCAATATAAAATTAAATATTATTATTATTATTGCATGTCAAAAATCCTTGATTACTAAATCAAATGCTATACTCGTGAAATTAGCAAATACTAATTTCACTCATTGCCATTTGATTACACATACATGTACTAATCAGACTAAGGAGGCAATGTCTGTAACAGACAAGGCCCCAGTTGTACAAAAGATGGATAGTATTAATTTTGGGAAACCAATTGTGCTGTCCCCTGGATAGTGATTTATCCAGTAGATAGCGCTATCCCCCTTTCGAACAACTGGCGCCAGGTCCACAATCCGTCAAAGATGACTCTGAAGACTTTGAAGATGACTACTGAACAGGTTATCAAAATGTCAGACACTTTCACAGTCCTATTCATAACACTCTTTGTTTTCTCTCCAAAATTTGGCATAAGAAATGCTTTTAATTTTTTTTTTGGACTCTTAATATGAATAAATTGTCCCAACAGAAACTGAGACCAATAATAATGCAGACTTTTGGAGGGAAAACAAAAGGTATCCTCGTATTTTTGAAGAAGACCTATAAGCTTGAGTCGACAATCACTAATGAATGTAAATGATCTCTAGGCTTCAAATAACCTGACTGAGAAATCTGGGAATTAAATGTGATGACTATTAATTTCACACCAAATATAATGAATTGCTCTCAAGTTTGAATTTGGCAAGTCACAATAAAATTGAACACTAGGGCAGATCTACAATGTGTCGGTACCTGAGGACTAGTTTCTAAATTTTCCATGGGAACATGCCCCAAGATCTATCAGGATAATTCTCCCTCTGGCAGTCATTTCTTCAAACCCATCTGGGGCCTGGTTCAGAAGCCACTCCATTGATGTGTTGAACCTAACTGATGAATTAAGTACGGCAAAAGAGCAGCGTCTGAATCAATTTGGTAAGACAGTTTTTATAGTTTGGTGTGGCAAAAGTGTTAAGTTCATCAGAGTCTCTCAAACTTATCAGGCGGTAACTGCTAATATTTACCTCATGAAGCAACACTTCTTACTGCCTGCAACTGTTCGAAGGTTTACCATAATAAACAATTTTTTTAAAACAATATATGCAAATTGTGATCTGACCTGACCCTAACAAGAAATGAATGAATATATGGAAAAGTACAGCTCCTTAAGTACAAAACGACAAAGCAACTTCTTACGTCTTACGGGAATGTTCTCTTACCTGCTGAGCTATAATTTAGGGAGGACACTGAGTATGGTGTCTAAACCAGGTCTGCCTGTTTTTAATAGATGTACACATACTAAACCAAAATGTTTTGTTTTAGTCCAAGGCTGAACATTGAACCTGTTGTTTTCCATGAGGGAAATCGAAACCATGATGCAGTCATTGGAAGGGTAAGCCTAATCATGCTACATGTAACACAAAACCAGATAATTTGCTGGGAGAAGTATAGCCTTTAGGCCACCAGCATACACTTCCCTCGTGGCCTTTAGGATCCTATCTTCTTACATGTATTTTACAATGCACTACATGCATTAGTTATCTAGTACATGTACAAAAACATGGTAAAAATATTGAATTACAAGTCATGATGATTAATAACTAGTGGTTTCAGTTATTGAAGTGAGGGGCGGAAGAAGGGAGGATTCAGTAACCAAGTCAAACAAGAGTGTATTTTTGCCATTCAAATGCTAACATTCTTTACCATCAGGACTTTTTGTGTAGAGAGAAGAGACAATGATTGGTAATCATCAGGCAAAATTGGGTCTTACTCTTTTAAAAGGTGATTTTCTGGTTTGCATTGCGCATCTCTTACTGCGCATAACAAGATGGCCACTGTGAAAAAAGGGCATCTAAAGTGAAGTTGACTGAAAACAAACACTATTGGAATTTTCGCTTGTTCTTTTTTCTAAAATGTGCTGAGAATGTGTTTAACATAAGCAGTATGCCTATTGCTAAGTTCCACATGGTACGGAAAACCTCGATAGTGGATGTTTAACTTGTGCTATCTCATTTTTATTTCCATTTACGCGCCAAAAAAAAATGTTAAAATGAGCACCCACTTTTTGTTACTTTTTAAACATCTCTTTGGCCTGTTACATCAGTGTACCAAGCAGGAGTTTCATTAAGCATTGGAGATCAGAGAATTCTCCATCTAGTATGCATAATTCTCTGGTTAAATTTCAATGAAGTATGGTTATTTTTTATTCAGAAGAATCAGACGTGGATACGTTATGTTACTGTAAAAAGAAATATTATTACTCCAAGAAATGCGTAATTTTAGCGCTTAGCCACTTGCTTTACATTCCCAAAGAAATAACAATAATACAAGTCATTAAAGATCTCATTTAAATGCTAGCAGTTTTAAGCCCAACAAAACTAACAGAGGACATGTAAAATATTTGACGGTTTGCTGAAGAGTGGATTGCTGACTGTATGCTCAACGCTTTTTTATTTTGCACGCGAAAAAATATTAAACAAACAAATACAATGAAACAAAACGTGAAATAAAATAAAGTACATGATGCACAAATCATAGTGGCAAAGTTACGACAAGAAAACTTTTAGCGATAAGAATCATGTTCTTTGTGAACTGCTTTGGAAATAAATTTGGCAATGTTTACTGCATATAAATGACAGAGTATCAAATTTCTATGAAGCAAATGAAATTTAATTTTTGAGATTTTTCTATTTTTACAACGACTTTTAAAATGGCACATTATAGAATTTAATATCAACTGCAGAGGAAACAAAGAAGAAATATTCATCGATATTAGACAAATTGTCTGTTCAACCGGACACACAAATTTTTGCACTGAGAGTGAATTTGTTTAAATGTGTTCTATCTAGCACAATCGAAGTGCAAGCACATGTCCCCGACAGAGGCGGGAAAAGTTTCTCACATCTCGAACTTTCACTACTGAAAACATCCCAAAAATATTGAATTGAAGTTAAAGCGTATTGAGAAGAATGTTATTTTCACTCTTTGGTATGTTTGGTATTTAATAAGATAGAGCCACATGTCACAACTCTAGGAGTGTGTAACAGGGTTAGAAGTTGATCATAATTTAACAATATGCCTGTTGATTCGAAGGAAAAATGTTTTAAAATCATGTAGAGGTATGCAGTGTTTTTTGTTCGGCAGCTACAAGAAAAAACATTTACTATCAGACAATAGGAAAAGCCATCTCAGCAGGGTTTAAAACGCTAAATTTCCAGCTCATTTTCAAGCTCTTTCCGGCGAGGGGCTTTGCTCTTTCAAAATATTCTCCTGTTACTTTACACTATTCTCCTGCTACTGCAATTCTTAATGAAACCCCTGACCAAGTTTCATCGACAGTCTATGTTAGGTTCTTTTACTAGGGAATCACCTGAACTGCAAAATGTTTTTTGTTTGCTTACTATTGTGACTATTGTCACATGAAACTGGCTTTAATGGTGGCCTTAGCTCCCACTAGTCTCCTGTAGCTCAGTGGTACAACATTCAGTCTAGTAACCAAAAAGAGTCAAAATAACCACCAAAACAAGTTGGGGTATAATTGTAATGAAAAGAATAATGGCATGCTATTTTGGTGGTAAATGTAAGTTTTATCAGTCATGATCATTCCAAGTTTTCTTTGTTGACCCAAAAATATAGTGGCTAGATAATAACGCTTTGTAATAATAATAATAATAATAATAATAATAATAATAATAATAATAATAATAATAATAAGTAACACTTACATAGTGCTAATTCTGTGAGTTCATTAGTGCCTTACAATAAGATTATAATAGATTATTATTAAGAAATAAAACATGAGTAA